TTCTCTCTGCTCTTTCTCTCCATATTCATTGTTCGCCTAAATCCGAACAAAGATTGAATAGAAATTACATTTGGAAAATATGTGTTACACAATTTTCAGCGGTATTTTTTAAGTAGCTGTTGTTCCTGGTGCTGCCGCTGCTAACAAGAGAATATATCTGTTGGACTCCTGGTGTGCATTGCACTTGAAGGGAAAATGTCAGTGTGAGGAGAGAGATAGAGCAATAGAGGATAAATTATGTTCGGCTCTTACACTCTCACTCTCTCTCTCTCTCTCTCTCTCTCTCTCTTTCTCTCTCTCTCTCTCTCTCTCGAATAAAGCGCAATGACCGTAAGAAAACGCACCAAAATCACAGTCAATAAATTAAAGACAATTCACATCGATTAAGAAGTGAGCGTAAACAAAAATCACACAAACGTCATTCTCTCTCTCTTTTCTCATGTTCAGTTATCGTCGCAGTGATGCCGGCTCCAAGTGAACAATAAGAGAAAATCTCAAAGAGATTTATTCGTCGATTGCATATATGTTTTGTGTGTTGGGAATTTGTTTTCGACAGTTTTGATGTCGAAACAATTTGTCTGGCAATGGGCTACCTTTTTCTGTTGTTGTTTGAAGACATGCTTGAACACCCTGCAGGCATATATATACACGCACACACACACGCACACAAACACACACACACACACGGAGAGAGAATCCAGTGCTGCTACACCCAAAAATCTGTCGAAATTTGATGGACGTAATTCGAAATATTTTTAGAATGCTGAGAACTTTTGGATCTGCTGAACTGAGTGTTTATGAATTTTAAGCATTCAAGTCGTTTTGTTGTTCCGGGCGCTGGAATGGTGGCTTTTAAAATTGGAAACTCTTGAATTCCTTAATTTAAATATGATCGAGTTGAGACCATCTCTTCTCTTTCCTCCCAAAACAACAAAAAAGCGATAAAGAATTTCCTCGATAGCAATCTTCTCAACAAAAGATGAGCAAAAACCATGCAGGCCTTTTTTCGATCCACGCCGAATTCGAATCCGGTCCAAAGGAAAAGTGCTTTCGCATACACACACACACACACACACACACACACACACACACCTACCCAATAAAACAATGCGGAACGTGCAAGGGATTCGATAAAACGGAAATATTTAATAAGAATTTTATTAAAAATCGTCAAATGAAGAAAGAGGCGTTGTGCGTTGTTTGAAGTTTCGTTGTTGTCGTCGCCATCGCCGTTGTAGTCGTTGAAGTCGGACTAAAAAAGGAATAATCGGCCGGTTACAATCTGAAGTGTGCTACTTTTATACTTTTACAACCAGCTCGATACAAACGAACAAAAAACACCATCTCTATGTTGAAACTACGTGAAGCGAACATAAGAGCGATACGCTTAAAATGCAGAAGAGCGTGGCCGACATTTGCCACGTGCCATCGATTTAATGAAAATCTTTTTGGCGCTCGTTATTGCGCTGAATGTGTTACCGTGTTGTTGTTGCTGCTTTCCTTTTCTCTTCGACTCTTTTTTTTCATTCCGGTTTTGCTCCTGAAAAATGCTTTAATCATGTCCATTCTGATGGAACGCTTTCAATTCCGTGTGTAATCACACTATTGCACTCTCACTCTCGTATGTGCGTTTTAAAACCATAGTCTTATTTGTGAAAATATTGTATAACACAATTTGTATTGAATCATATGCATATTCATAATAATATCACGAGCACATATCATCCCAGCGTCAAAGGAAGAGAAAAAAAAATTCGCGCATTTTCTATGGAATTTATTAAAATTCATAATTTTTCATTAAAAACGTATGAGAGTGCGCAAGTATCGTGTGCCACGATTTAATTTCAAGAAAAGGCGGAATGCATCTCGCTTTTCCACCTCAACGACAATTGTGATGCGGGAAAAAAAAACCGTAAAATCGATATTTTCAGCAAGACACACAAAAAATCATCATCATCCGTTCAATTTCAGAATAATAGCATTTTATTCTTACTGCAGATAAAATCAGTACAATCTCTTACGGAGGATGAAATCGATTCAATTTCGCATTGAAAATGAAATCAATTCGGTTTTCACAGCAAGCGATGTGAATAGGGCAAAAGTACTTCATCAACGGACCGGTGTGTTTATCAAATGAATGTGAACAGTGTTCGCCGAATACGGTGTGTTTCTTCAATTTTGTGCGTGTACCACTCGTTCAGTGGGTATAATAGCAGGCGAAAAGAAAAGAAAATCTCATCGTATAACAATACATATAATTTTCCTGTTTATTTTCGACTGTTTGGCATTCAGCGCTGACTACTGACGCTTAGATGTCATAAGCGCCACTTTCACCCGAATGCGTGAATCGAACGCGTAATTCACCGCCCCCCCCCCCGCCCCCCCGAAAAAACGGCGCATTGCAGCCCTGTGAATGCCTGAATGGGAGCTAGCCTTTATGAATAGAACATAAATATCAACGCCAACTAAATTTAAAATTCAAAATAGATAAAAGAGACAGTGCGAGGGAGAAAAAGCGAGCGAGGGAGAGCATGGGGCGAAAAGAAAGTGAATATCGATGGCGAAGCCGAAGGAACGAACGAAAAATAGGGTGAGTGAAGGAAGAATGAAAATGAAGAAGAAAAAAAGAACTGCATAAGCGAATAGCATTCACGACATTGTTAAATAGACGTGACGAAGGAGTCTCCTCCGCGCTGCTGCCACCGACGACAACGATGACGACGACAACAACACATAATATCGCCAGAAGATAAATTATAGTGAGGTAAAGTTTTGTGGTGAATTAATGCAAACACATTTGGGAGAGAGTGAATTTGGTTTAGCGCGCACAAAGCGCAACAACCAAAGAAAGCAGCAGCAGCAGAAAAAAAGTCCAAACCAAAAGAACGAGCGAAGAAAAAAACACTGAATGAACACACAAATACAGACAAACATCACACAGCTTCGGCCACATTTCAACCGCGCGCGCGATCCAATGCGATAATGAGGACGACAATGATGGTGGCAGTGAGAAATATTGAATTACATTCAACGCGGTCGCGCGCCCGCACACACAAACACACAGACTAGGAATTGGTCGTCGTCATCGTCGTGGTCGTCGTGGTGAAGGAAACGGTTCGGTTTTTACGATGTCACCACGACCAACCAAACGACATGAAGACACGAAAGAAGGAAGAAAAAAAATAGTCGAAAAGACAAAAAAAAGAAAATGGAGGAGGCGATGGCACAAACAACGCACCACACAATGACGATGATAATGTTATGCAGCGAATGCGGCTCATTATTTTCATGATCTTTTTGTCACACTTATTTTAATATAGTGTCCTTCTTTGGTGGCATCGATGCTTGGTGATTTGACGGCGAATTCATTGGTTTTCCAGCCGCGTTCATTAATAATTGGTTTCTATCGATTTTCGATAACCTTGCCGTCACTCGTTTACATCACCATCACCACAGTATGTGTCTCTCATTCTTTTGAACTTTCTTTAAGAAATTAATTCGTCGCACGGATATTGGCGTTCTTTTTACATCGAAAATGTCGAATGCAAACCATGGGCGTGTAAATTTTACAACTATTTAAACTTCTAATATTTTTTTACAGTTACTTTTTATTTTGCTTGAACATTGCGCGATATGCTGTTTAAATAACCATTGACGTATAATCGGTTCTCGGTAATGATGTAAACGGCGACGCAAAAGTTTGTGATACTTAAGCCATTTGAGAGGGCAACCGGCGCCCGCGATAATTTTTTTTTCACGCGGCAAACGAACCAAACGTTACAGCCAAAACTTTACCCGAATAAATTAAATGGCGTATAAATCGTTCGTTTCGTTGCAAATACACTCACACCTCGACTCGTTTCTGTCGTCACACCAAAAATTCCCAACGACATTGATAAACTTGTTGAGTTGAGCCACACGCAATAAACATTTACACAGACGACTATTTGTATTGGCGCATCTCGAGTTGTTGCTTCCTGTTTTCCTACACTTTTCGTCAAGTACGTTGTTTGTCGGATATTTCTTATTGCCCAAGAGGGAAAGAAGCACTTTCGCTTAGGATTCTCGTAGCAAAATAGAGATTTCAGCGATTGAATGAGAGTACTTCGTGCGTGAGTAAAATGATGTGCTATGCCGACGGAATGGGCAGATTCAGTTCAACTGTAACTATTTTATGGGATTTGGCACTCTATTTTAAGGGAATTTTATATGCTTTTCGCTATTTAACGCAGATTTATGGACTATTTTCTAAATGATTTAGAACCTCCAATAGAAATTGTGATGAATTTTGCGCGTTTTAGTCAATTCAGTATTAAATTATTGCTCATCATGAAAATACGCGAAATATTTAAACTTTTTACTGTTGTTAACTTAAGTGATCTTTAATCATACCGCATGATGTACGAAAAGAGCCAGGTTTTTAACGAGGCGAGAACTGATAGTTGTCGAAACCTATTGCTACTAATTGTTTATTATTTTAAATATGTAACAGTCTTGCACTCTTTTCCGGCCAAACCTCAATCAAAACCCACATTATATTCAGCCAGAGCTTGGCGGTGTTTAATAAAAATAAAAATAAAAAAATAAAAATTTTCATTGTTTTTATTGCGTTTTTGCCAAGTTGTCTTCTCGTCTGCTGCAGCAGCTAGAACGACTGAGAAGAGTATCCTTAACTTAAGGACATTGAAAAACTAGTTTCCGAATTCAAGTGACTCTCAAAGGACGAGTGGTCATTAATTTAAGTTAAACTCATGTTTAGTAAGTTACTAATAGTAACTGATGATTGGTTACCATTCGATTTCTGCTAAACTTTCGATATTTCAAATTCAAATTTATTTTTTCTTCTGAACAAATTCGACCGATTTTACTATTCGAATTGGTTTTTCCATAAAAAAAATGTATAATGATTATGAAATATCCCAAAAATATTTGATTTCGAATAAAAAGCCATCGGAAAAATTGATAAAAAATTACGATAAAAAGAAGAAATTTCTACTTACGCTTGGAATGTTGTCATTGGTGCAGGCGCCTTCTTGCAGTAATCGATCGCGTATTTCCCATGCAAAAATGCTTGGGCATTCGCGTTTGTAGTGTGATATTTTATTTACAACTTCGGCGGTGGCGACTCGTGGCTTGGAACCACCAATGGCTCTTGGCCGTATGCTGCCCGTTTCATAATATCTGCCTAATATTTTACTAACACAACCGTTCGATACTTGCAGAATGCGTGATATGTCACAAGGCCGTGCACCTGAGTGAGCTAATTCGACGATTTTTTGACGCGTCGAATCTGGTAACGGTCGACCGCCAACGAACACACCACCCAATTGATTGACTCCACTGTGACCTGTTTTATCGTCGTCGTTGAATTTATGTCCACGATGAATCATCATCACACGCCACACAGCAACAGTGATCGCAACACGATTAAACAAAACGCAGACAAAAAATAGAAGGAAAAACGAGAAAAGACATGAACAATTAGTCGGATTCATTTTCATTGGATTAGAAATGACGGTTACTTATCGCATAAATTAGACAACGCAAACACACAAAATGAAATGAAACAAAAGGAAATTAGGCTATTATTGAGGGCCTGCCAAACTTAATTCAAATGCTAATCGAATAATCATGGAGCGTGGCGTTTTTGGTCTCGATTTTTGTTGCTTCGAAAATCTCACCAACATCCATCCACACACAATGTCAAAAACAACGTGCACACATTTTCTGCGTTGTCTATTCGAATCTGTGTTGATGTGTGGCAGTTGACGGGTGAAATCGAAACAAAAACGATACAATGTATGTGGTGTACGCACGTATTGCCGATGGCGATTTTTCAGTTAGATCCCCAGCTATGAGAACACCACAAGAGCTAGAGAGGGAAAGAGAGAGAGAGAGAGAGAGAGAGAGAGAGAGAGAGCTAACGATGATGCAAGTGATGCGCCCGATTTTCTACGTGACTCTTTGTACTTTGTTTACTTTAACTTAATTTCATTGTGCTTTCGATAGAGAGAGAGAGAGAGAGAGAGAGAGAGAGAGAGAGAGAGAGAGAGAGAGAGAGAGAGAGAGGGATCAAGAGAATGAGTGTGAGAGAGACACGCAGTTGCGGGTGTTTACTTAACAGATTTTCGGTTTAAAATTGTTTGGGTTTTTAGTTACAGATGACACGCGATCCACCAGATTCCACATGCACATACACATTTTACAAATAACATTGTTTTTCTTTCCCGTCTCTGATAGAAACGTCAATTACACGCTCTCGCATACACACATTTGCGGTTTTATGCCTATGTGTTTGCACAAAGTATCACGCTTGAATCGCCGACGGCATTGCGATTTGTGCATTTATTTCGAACGGAAAACGCAATTAAATTAACTCCAACCAATAGTAGCAGTAGCTACAGAAAAAAGAGAAGAAGAATAGGAGTCAATCTATTGAAAAGAAACTTTTTTTGAAGTTTTTGCTTCGTTGTTTCCTCTCTCTGTCTCTCTCGCTCTCTCTGGTTGAAATGCAATCAAAAGGATTTCCATCCATTGCCACTCATATTTTTTTGGTCAGTCAATAGTGCAATTTTTGTTTGGCTCTCATCCATATTAATTCCGATTGACTTGGCCGTTAATCGAAAATGTTGTTACTGCATTCAGTTGCATTTTCTTCATCATCGACAGACAATCGAATGTGAACTGTGATACCATACCTCGTGTTCCGTTTTTTTTAACATTCCAATAAATTGCCACCCAATTAAATATGCTAACAATTTCAAACAGAGGTGAAAAAATCCCACCAAAACTATTTCAACACCGCATTCCAATTGTTTTTCAATTGAAAAATTCACTTTGAAACGAGCAAAAAAAATCGCTCGTCATCGTCTCTGTTTGCGTCGTTGTGTACACAACATACACACGCAAACATGTTTAACACTACAATGTGGATTATTAATATATGTTTTTTTATCCACCATACGATTGCGGTTTTCAAAAATACGGACGGATTTTACTACCGCTAATTGTGATGTTGAAATCACACATTTTTCTGCTTGAATGCAGAGAAAAAAAATGATTACGTTTTTTTTCGCTCTCATTATTTATTGAAAATGAATCAATTTTCAGGCGGGAAAAACACGCTTGACTCTCGAAAATTGGACAGACAGAGGCTCTGTCACATAGCCCAGCTCACCTGTTTACACGTGAAATAGACAAATTTATCATTTTTCATCGTCTGTTGCTATCATTTGTCATCGGATGGCTTTGGCTTGCGACTAACTCTTCTAGATATACACTAGATTATACACAAAGAGATTGTCTAGCTTCGGATGAAAAGGAGATGGCCTTGTACCATCCACTCTCAATTCAAGCAGCAACACTTCGAATATCGAACTACGGCTTTTTTTTAAGTTAATCACACGTTTGCTATTATATATCAATGTGGTACTTTGTCGCCAAGATCTCAAGCTATCCCGTGTGGAAAATTTTTGACTGACTATTCAGTCGATTAATTTGGGACATTTTGACTGACTAAAAGTGATTTTCTCGAACAAAATAAGCAACTGCAGTTAACTTTAGTTTAATCTTCGTCAAAATGTCCCAAATTAGTCGACTGACTAAAAGAATAACTAAACGTGATTGTCTCCATACAAAACGCATGATTTCAATCAACTTAGCCAGTTTTAGTTGTGTATCACTACATACAGTTACATACAACTGAGTGACTGTTAGTCATTTTATTTGCACACGGGTATTTTAATTTAAAGTGTAAAACTGAGAAAAAATCGTCATTTTTTTCTCTTTTTCATTATAATTCGATTAAAGAGACATTTTAAACATTGAAGCAATCTTCATTTTAATCTTCATATGGAAATGATTCACATGCGACGGTGTGACAATGATTTTTATCTCTCTATCTCTCTCTGGACATCTTTACCCATTTTTTGTTCATTTTTTGCTCCATTTTTTTCATTTTTTTTTGTTTCATTTCTGTCCGTATTTTCAATATTCTTCATGGATTTTTTTCCTTTGCCATTTTGATTTTCTTTTCGTTTTTTGCACTTTTGTTTTCTTTTTTTCCACATTGCATGCATTTTATCCATTCATCATCATTTTTGTCCTCTGAATCGCACTGTTTCTCTCTCACTTTTACACACACAATAGATCGTCCATTTTCGATATCGCCGTAATTGTGTGTAGACTCGATGCTCGTCTCAATTATTTATTGTTGCGATTTAAAGCAGAGGAAGAAGAAGAAGAAAAATAGTAAAAACATGCGCTAATGATAAACACGACACAATCTCAAGACAATGTCAAATAAGAGATCAAAATCAAGTTTTCACATCACTGATTGAAACGAGATAATGACAAATGGACAAGTCATCGGCCAGCATATGGAATATTATTCTGTCTGTGTTGTTTTTCTCTCTCTCTCTCTCTCTCTCTCTCTCTCCTTTCTTCCTCCGCTCTTGTGTTTCATGAACGAAAAAAAAATATTTTGTTTTATAAGCGGTGATCTGTTTTTTTCTTCTTCTGGTTCGAGAAAAAAAAATCGAGTCTAAAGGATAATGCAAAAGCCAAAAGAGACGAGGAAAAAAAAATATGGAATCAACATGAAACTTGGCGACCGACAGTTAAAATGACGAAGACGAAGCGAAACGTTATCCAATATTTGATGGCAAATTTTCTCGATGATTAAAATGGTTTATGTTTCATGCACCATGAGCGACCGATAGAGAGAGAGAGAGAGAGAGAGAGAGAGAGAGAGAGAGCCTAGAGACGGGCGAAGAAAAAAAAGCACACAACAAGCAACTCCGATTTCCTAAGCCTTATAATGCATAACATCGGTTCGGGATTTTTTTTCTGTCTTAGCGATGGCTTCTCTCTCTCTCTCTCGCGTCATTCCTTCGTCAATTTCTTGTTGTTGCCTTTTCTGTTTGCTCTCTTGGTTGGCTGTCGGTTTATCGTGGCCTTTGTCAACGGTCTAAATTTCTTTTTTTGGGGGCCGGAGACCCGCTGCATTCACCTGATTCTCATGCGGCTACTAATCGTTGTCACCAGAAAAAACAACAACCGATCGAATGAATGGAACGAAAGAAGTATCAAAAATCATCATTTCCAAAAAGAAGAAAAAAAAACGAGAACAAACCCGAAAATTCATTAAAAATGGATTAATTTTCGGTCGGTGCGCATCGATTTCAAACAACGAATGGGCTTCTTTCGATCGTCTCTCTCTCCCCTGTCTTTCTCTCTCGACAAAATATTGTCACCCAATCAATGGTCTAGTTTACTCGGCTCGAAACGATTCTCTAGTCGAAATTTTCGAATCTAATCACATTATGACCGCATTTTTGTGTCATTTGGCGACAAAAACTTCATTCCGCGATTCGATTACAACAATGTTACGACGAGAGAAACGAAGACGTTTGTCATGGAACATTTCGAATTGGACAGGTTTAATTTTGAACGGGCTGTCCGATAGATTCGATGTAATCGATATTTTAATGAATCTAAATCAAATAGAAAAATCATTTTGAATTACCAACGACATGATATCATCGAATGAAAATGAAGAGGAAAAAAACAACAACACTGAAACATTGAATACGTTTAAACGTGTACCACGTAAATAACAAATGACGAGTTGATCTATACGGATAAACTATCTAATTTCTAATATAATAATTATTCGAGATTGTTCGAAATGATTAGATGATGAAAAGCTGACACATGTTAAGTTGCTGTGCCACACACAGAAACGCACGCATACACACACAGAGAGGTACATACTAGCTCATGTCAATATCAGCCTAGTTGGGTCCGGTGAAAAAAAAAGAACAACAACTCGATGTGTGTACTGCAAATTGGAATTTGAACAGGCGTTGTAAATTGTGAATAATTTCAATTGAAATCAGTGTGAGTAGCTTGAATTCCTGTGGATCACACGATCGAATGAAATCGGTCACGGCATTGTTTTGTTTGTTTGCTTTTTTACTCTGGTCAATTTTCGTCTTCGTCGATGCAAACGAGATCAATGAACGGGAGGTACATACATTTTCCGAATCAGGTTTTGGCTTAACATTTCAATTATCTGCCATTTATTTGCTTCTTGTGTGTGTGTGTGTGTGTGTGTGTGTGTGTGTCGTGATTAAACCTGAGAACATTACATGGGCCATATGGCAGATGATGTCCGTTTCATAAAGCACTTGCAGAAAAACAGAAGCAGGATTTTTTTTTCGTTCAATTTTCGATCGAGAAATAAAAATCATGTCTTGGCATTTCGTCCGGCGCGAAATTCAAGGAACTGACAAGAATTTGTGAGGCTTCATTTTCTTGTGATCGTGTGTGATGTTGTTGCTGGTTGGTTGGCTGTATTTTTTTCGGTATTTCTATTATTTTCTCTTTATTTTTCGACAGTCGCTGTGCGTTCCTTTTTGCTCGGTTCCATCAACATTTCAGACGCATACAGCTACTAGTTGCAATTGCGTTGTAAAAAATAAGGTGAACAACAACCGAACGGCTTGAAATGAAGCAGCGGCAGCAGCAACACCGATCGCTTTGCGATGGGGCGATTCAGTATGTGTATTGACTTTTATCCCGATTTTGCAATTGATCATGGCATGAGATGCAGTGTGTGTGTGTGTGTGTGCTCGGGTGTGCGCAATAGCGATCACAATGCAACCAGATCGAAGTTCGACTGATTACAAGATTCAAATAACAAAAGGTACAGAGTGCATGATTGTGTCTATTCCGAAATGCAAAACCGTAAGCATGTGGAATCTCCGGCGAGAAAATGTGTATATCTACAACCAAGTGTTCGGTTGATGGCGAGCGGGCGAGTGTGTAAGATAGAGAGCGAATGTCGGCCGAACGAGCGAGACAGCGATCGAGTGAAGAGCGTGCACGAGAGACAGATATTGCCATGGTATGTGTGTGTGCTAGTGACCATAGTCATCCAACCAAATGATTCGGTGTGGCATACCTCAAAAATGTCAACATAAATTAGCTTACGCATCAAATGGTATACTGACATAAATACTAAAATGCTATAAGTACGCCCGAACGTGTATGTTGGGCACACACGAACACATACGAAAACAATTGATGAGCGAGTGAACGAGAGAGCGAGAGCAGAAGAGCGTCGAGTCGAAGCGCCCAACCGAGAAAATGTGAGCGCGTTGGGCGCGCGCGCGCCTGCTCTCGCGTATTGTAAAATCCACGACAACACCGTCGTCGTCGTATATTCCGAATGGCATTGCACAAAACTGGGAACAATAGTGATAAAAACGAGGCACCACACAACACACATTGCCAGGCGATACCGATTGAAAGAAAGAGAAAATTACAACAACTGCAAATGAAATCCGAGCAACGAAAATGAGAGACAACACCGGAGTGGCGACAACAGCAGCAGCGGCAGCAAGAAAAAAATTCAAGGCACAAATGAGAAAAGAAGAATGAACACGAACCGAACATAAACGACAATTTTTTTTCTATCTGTTTATTGCTTTGAGTCTCTATGTCATTTTTTTCCGCTGTTCGTTTATCTCCTCTGCCTGGCTGGTTTGTTGTGTGTTGTTAATATATATTTTTTTCGTATCTGCTGTTTCAGCTTCGTTCGAGCTGTCAAATGCTCTGCGGCAGGAACATTCTTGTGTGTGGATACTGTTCGTTTAAATCTGTTGCGATGTACGTTGTACGCTCATGTTTTGTCCGCTCTGACGTCTCGCTTTGGAACGAGTAACGCGAGATTTTGTGGCTAAGACATTAATAAAACGGGCGTACGAACTCACACACACTCACGTATAATCATCGCGTATTCGATTCCTTTTCGCATCATCATCTCTCCGTCATCAAAAACAAACAACAGAAAAATGAGCGGAAAAAATCCGAAGAAAAAAGAAAAAAATGAAGCGCAGTTCGGTTTTGCTCAGCTTTAATGCCATTGTGATTTGATGTTTCAGTTTTTTGAAAATTCTATTTAATTTTTTTTCGCCTTCTTCACTCCTTGTGAGTGAGTGTGTGTGTCTGTCGTTCGTTTAAATTTTACAGGAGAGTAGTTTTAATGCGCTTGTCACTGGATGCGACCTGGTTGCTATCATATCTTCTCACCGAGACCAGGCGCTCTCTCGATCTCTCTCTCTCTCTCTTGCTCTGACTCTTTCTCTCTGGTTCTGAGCTTCTCTGTATTTTCGTCGCTCTTGGTGTGCTTCTATTCTCTCATTGGCTTGCAATCTGTTGTCTCGTCTATTTTACATGCGGCCAATCTTCTGAGTAGTTTTTTTTCCTTTTTTTTCGGTTACCTCAAAATCATCAGACAAGAGATGCACTCAATGCCAAGACATGACGAAGAAGATGAACAACGAAATGAAAAAAAAAATCCCATCGACGTTTCAAATTTCATTGAATGTTCTAATTATGCAAACGTATCCTTTGCTATCCAAACCGATTCATATATAGAGACGTTGTTTTCGGTTTTGTGGACACGACAAAAAAATCAATAAAGCCACTCGTTGCGAAAACGTCACTGCATCCAAAATGCAAAGAGCGAAATGGGGAAAAAATTGCGGCTCATTGCAACTATTTGTTTGATTTTGGGATCGGTTTTTTGGTCGTCATCGTCCGCACCGGATAGAAGATCTTAAGGAAATCCACACAAAAAAATTAACAACAATCGGATATTGTCACGAGAAAAAAACAACAACAGTGGAAACATCGTTTGGTTCGTTTTTTTTTTAGATTAACGATTTTTGCGAAAATCTTCGGCCGGATCAATCCGGCCTGTGCAGCAGGCGTAAGTTTTTGAATCGGTCAACAACAACAGAAAGAAGTACATTAATTTTGACCGTGATTCGAAAATTTTGATTGATTTTTATTTTCTTTCGCTCACATTTTCAAGTGAAAAATCCCTCTGATTCGTGTGCTCGTGCTCAAACAAACAAACAAACAAAAAACCGATCACCTTTTGCATCATTGTATTTACAACAAATACGCTTTCAAGGTACAGAAAGAAATAAAGCAACATTCAATGGCAATTTATGGATCTCGCTTTTTTTTCTCGTCATTCTTTAAATGGGATTTTGTGATTTTGTCCGAAAGATATTGATTTTTTCCCTCTCTCTCTCTCTCTCTCTCTCTCTCTCTCTCTCTCAATGTTTCTGGTGTGAATGTAAGAATGTGTGCTTGGAACGGCCGTGTGCCATGATTACGATATGTGTATTTATTTTTGTTTGTTTTGTATTTTGGTTTTGGTTCATGCAAAATTGTTAGTTTTCTTCGTTCCTTTGCTTAACAATAAGACGTTAAAAGTTTTCTTTTTTTTTATAAAAATTTGATTTTTTTGATTGTGTTTGGAATGTTGCATGATGGATTTACTTACTTGAATCTGGTTGAAATTCAGCCGACATCTGGTATTGGACTCGTGCTGTTTGTTTAGTTTGTGTACGGTTGTTGTTGTTGTTGATGCAAAGATTGATTTTTGTGTGTGCATTTTTTCGTTTCGTTTAGTTCAAATTGTTTTCATTGTTTTTTTTCAATTTTTTTCGGCCAATATTGGTCATTGCGTAATGAAGTTAAGTTGAGCGCGCGCGCCATTGATGCCAGCAGTGAGAAGAGATTTGACATGTGCGCACACAGATTTTTTTTTTTTTTTTTTTGATTTTGCATCCCGATTGTTTCAAAACACACACACACAGAAGCACAGATGTGGAAGAAAGAGAGAGATAGAGAGAAGAGAAAAACAGAGAAAAATTAATTTGTTCATCGTGAATGTGTTGTTATCATTTGATTCTATAAAAAATTTTGTTTTTGTTTTCTTCAAATCAGGATTTAAATACATTTAAATGCATGTATGGCTTTATCATAAATCGCACATCAATTTGGGTCTTGGACTGCTCTTTGAATTTTGAATTTCAACTTCAATCGCTTTGATTTCACCTTAATTTCAATTTCTATTCCATCTGTTAATTTGCGACTTCACTCTTTAAGCAACCGTTTTTATTCCATTCACACATCTTAGCTGGCGCATAAATTTTGCGACTTTTGGCCATGATCAGACGCCTAGGATAGATCCTTAATAACGTTTTTTTTTTCAACCAATTTTTAGGAAAAATACGCTTAAATTTTAAACCACATTTCATCAATTTTTCTATTTCGATTCCCTTGAACTGATCAAAATGACCATTTCGATTCAATTTTTGCAACTCTACAGGCAAAAACGGTGCAATTATTTTATATTTTGTCTAATTTGATAATGAAATGATTTCGAATATATATGTTTGAAATATTTGTAAAAAAATCTATTCAACTTTCAAAAAACAACCTAAAATTCAAATAAAATGGTTCATCGTTTTGGAATCGATTCAAAAATACGTAAAAATGTTCTACAAAAAACGGATTTGATTTGCTTCTGTTCGCACTTAAGAATATCCTTAAAAGAGTCTAGAATAAAAACAATCACAGAGTGTGTTTTCACATCATTTATATTCTATGTTCAAACTCTCAAAACGCTACGCTTATGCAGTTTTCCAGTCCACGATTCATGACAATCCCAATTTTGAGCTCGAAAACTTCTTCGTCGCGATGCAAATGTGTCTGCGAATGGGATCGATTGAAATGTGTCGCAAAAAGTGCTGTCATCTTTTAATTTCATTAGAATTCGATGGAAACACCCTCAAAAGTGTGTTGACTTCAAAAGGAGGCAAAGAGGCGACTAATCACACGCCGTTCGAATATTCAATCGATGCTCAACTCATGACTTCGTTTTCCTCTGTATTTTTATTGATCTTTTCTTTTACATTGATATCGGTGGTCGCCGCCGTAAATAAACCGAGAGAGAAAAAAACTTCAACTGTAGGATTTTGCATACAATATTCAAATGACTCCTTCGGAAAACATCAAACAAACAAGACGCCGTGATACACATTATTGATTGAATATTTTTTACGCAAAAAAGCGCACAAACACACACTCCATGCAAATATCATGAGGATGATGTGGGTTGGTTGAGAGTGTCTGTTCTTTTTTTTCATGTCTGTGTTGTCATTTCCGCAAATGTTTGTTCGCCGAAGACGATTTAAGGTGTTTGTTTGTGTGTTCGGTTTGTTCCATATATCCCGGTTTGTTTATCCAGATGAAACATTGCAAAGAAGAAGAAACAAAATTATGTATGCACACAACGGCTTTTCAGTTTACTGATATAAAAAGAAACGTCGGTTTCGCTAGACAACACGCACACACACATAAACACGTTCGCAGATCCATTTCTTGATCAGTTTGGCATTTGTTTGAAATGCGATGCAACAGCGTTCGTTTTGCATAAACATTCCCATTTTTTTTATTCAAAACATTCTCTTTCAACTTGAGAGGCTCAAGATGAGACTGTTCGAGTCGACAGATATTGACGACACACAATTGAAATGGCAAAGAAATTATTATTGGGAAATATTTAAGCAAAATAAGAAAATCGTTAATTTATACTCAATGTGGAGTGAATAAATACGTAATTGGTTTAACTGGGCATCATCAAAAAATATTGCCGACTTGAAACACATAAATTTCGATTCAATCCCATTGAATGTGCTCTGTAATGAATTACAGCATGCACACGCAGCCGATAGTTGTTGTTTGCCAACGGCCACTTTGAATGGCCGTGCATACGAGAAACTTACGGTCGATTTCGTTGCGTCCGAAAGAACAAACAAAGATAAAGTTATAAACGTTTTCAATTTAAAAGCGATTTTTCGGCTGCCCCTTTTCGGGGAATGGACAAGTTTTCACCAAAGGGGTTTTCTGCATGTTCGAAATCGAATGGACTAGCGAAAAAACAATCAAGAGCACATTTTCATGCAGAATTGGACGCCATCATATAGAGTCAGCAATTTGTATGTAGCAAAACAAGGGACAATCGTTGCCACTGCTGATGCTATTGCTCGTCGGCTTTACGCAGGCACAACGAGATAAGGAAAAGGGTTTGGAATGCCGAAGCGAAAAGAATTTGCATGAATCGATTGATTTTATCTTCAAGAAGAAAATTGAATTAAGAAATCACAACGGCTGGCGAAAAGGTCAATCGAAAATCACTTTCTCAAGCATCTGATTTATATCAATTGCAAATAGTTTGGATTTTGCTGTTTTTTTTTCTCTTTCGAAGATAGATTTTTTTTTGTCTTTTTACGATTTAAAATCGAATTTGCGTTTTTTATTTTTTTAAATCAAAATTAAATTCCCTGGTTCTTTGATATGATTCTAGCCTCTGTAGACTCTCTGAATGCTTCAAACTCGATTAATTATAACGGATAAATGTGTGTTTGAATATGTGCTTTTACCTTTATGTGGGATGTCATCCAATGTGACACGGTCCATCATTGTGGTTCCTGGCCAGGGAGTCACTGATGCCCCCATCATGGCCGCTGGTGTTGATTGTAACGCGAAAATCTTGACGAATTTTCTATTTCACTGCGACACTGAACAAAAACTGTCTCTTTTTTTCTCGTATTGTTCCTTTGGACTCTTTTTCCGAATCCTTTCAGTTCAATTCACACTGTTTGTCGTAATTTTTTACTTTTGCTTAGCAGTCAATTTATTCAACAGATTTTTGACTATTTTCATTTCACACTACAATTGAATTCATTCGATGCTCTAGTTATGATGATTATTACGATGACTTGTCATTTTTTTCTCTTAATCTCTCCTCAATGCACGTACTCTTTTATCGACTGAAATAGATAAAAAAAATGAAAAAAGCGATAAGAAATTAATGTTACAAATGAAATCTTATGCTTATAGATCATATTCTTATGTGTCCTAATACAAATACATTATTCATTTCCATGGTTATATAATTTAGTGTTCTGCGTTTATTCAATAAATGCAATTGTTAATCGCCGTTTATCAAATTGTTACATAACAATTCTTTATTGCTGATAATTCCATTCACATTAATCCGCCCAATTGCTCAACATGGCTAAAATTTGGATTCTACTTTATATCTCTCTTTAATACTCTCAATATTTAACACTTTTCAACTGGTAAAGCCGTGCTTAAAAAGACGCGAAATTCAATTTCGAAAATCCAAACAACACTTTTTGGCTTTCTTATCTAACCCATTTTTAGTATTTTAAATAATAAATGAATGCGTCAACATTTTCTGATATTTTGATTGTATTTTACCTGCTCAATCAACTTCGAATTCAGATTCTATTATTCAAAACCTGCGATTGATCTTTTTACTCTCTAAGGTGATACATTTCAACGCACAATATGTCTTCTACGCAAAAATTAAAAATGAAATCTTATCAAATTGACATCTAATACTAGATTTTCATCACAGTGTTATACACAAAGATTATTATCTTTGAAAGATATAGATTGAGTCTTTTTTTGTAAATGTCCAATTCTAAATGTGTGAATTACTTAAATCAATCTCGTTTATATGCCGTTAATGAGACGTTCCTTGTGAAATAAATTTGGTATATCTGTCAAATTGTGCTACATCTGCATTTGAGCATATATTTTTTTTCGCGACGTTAAAATTTCATTTGAAATTTACCATATTCTTTTCGATTATTTAATCGATTTTGTTGAAAGACGTTTGACTAATGTCAATTGAATAATAATTGAAAGTGTAAGGAACTGCTTTTTCGACAGCTTTTGATTCGAATAACTTCAATTTTTAAGAAAAAAGATTTGTTGGAATACTGTATTCATTGGGTTATTGATTCATTTCGTTTCTAAATATCTTGATCATTCTACTTATGTCTACAATCCAATTTTTGCTGTTCTAATAAGCAGAGCAACGAAGTGTTTTAATCTATTCATTTTTTCATTATATCAAAAAATCTATTGAATTATTAAACATTTAATCAATCAAAACTATTCTCGATTCGCTTAACACTATTTATGATCAATTTTGCAACGAAAATTCACCCTGATTGAAACGAATTTCAAATGGTTTTACAACTACGTATATTTAACTATATATACAAATAAATTTTCAAGAAATTGCGATGACTAACCATTAAAAATTGCTTCCTTGTAAAATGGGAAAGAGGTGGTTGAAATTCATATATAAGGTGAAAGACTTGAGTCAGTTGAGAAATGGGATAATCCGCAAAATAATTGGTTGCTTTGAAACGTATTCACACTTTTTATCATAATCAAAATCACAGAATAATTACGAAACGCTTGATTTGTTTTTGTTTTGTTTTTTCATTGAGTTCGATCTAATTTTTTTTTTCTCGATCAAAATCCTTGAAATGGTTTGTTTTGTTTATTGTTAAAAGCTCTCACTGATCGATGCACATGCACACTTATTCTCTTTTTTGCCACACATTCGTTTGTTTACTTTTTTCTTGTCACAATTTCCGATCGTTGTCCATCATTAATTGAATAGCAATTAACGATGCAAATGTTGTTCAAATTTTCAATGATTATTCATTGTGTGGAATTTGATGGGGGAAAAAAACCAAAACACACTAACAGCAGCTCAGCCGCTGCGGCAAACACTGAATTTTTCTGTTTTGTACGAAAAAACCGAATGGGCGAATAAAAAAGCGCACACATGAAACGGCACGGGACGCACTGAAATAACGAAACAAAAACGCACTACAAACAAGGTCCGTGTTTGCGTGCTCGTTCATTGCCGAGAACAGAAACAAAATAATTGAATCACACATTGAGAGCGGGACCAGAGACCCGAAAGGCGATGTGTGTACTCCACTCACAATCACTGTGTGCTTGGCTATATGTGTGTACACATTTTCTGGGTGTTGATGTTAGCATCGAATGTGTTGTTGGTTCTACTTCTGCTGCTGCTGCAGTGATTGCCGCTACTCGTCGATAGAACACGGGCTTGAGTGCATGTGTGAGTGTTGCGTGTACGAGTGTATAAGTGTGAGAACCATGTGCTCGGCTGTGTGTATGGAAAAGGCGAACCGGAGGAAGCGTACATGAATCAAGATTTACGCAGGCCAAAGCAACAGTCTCAAATGTTTACCAAAATGCTGCTGTCGAGCGAGAGCGAATGAGAGATAGAGACAGAGAAGGAGGGAGAGAGAGAGAGAGAGAGAGAGAGAGAGAGAGAGAGAGAAACAAAAATTATGAATATGCTCATAAACGATACTTTTGCCAGCCGCGCACATCAAACAGGAATACCAAATCAGCGGAGCAAACCATTGGAAAATTCACAATTTACAATTATTACTAACGAAAACTGTCCCATGGCTGGACCGTTTTTTTCCCTTTCTTTTCTATCGCTTTTTTTCCTTGACCCACTAAACGATTTTTTTTTCACAGTCTTCTGTTTTGCTCGTTTCGTTTTTCGACAAAGGAAGATCGAACTTTTTTTTTTGCTGTTGAGATCGATGCCAATCGAACAATAAGCAATAAGAATTTACTTCATTGCTTTTGTTTATTTCTCCAATTAGATTCATAACGACGTTTCCGTATTGGAAAAACGGATGCTACAGCGATTAGCAGCGTATCTATCAACACAGACCGTTGAACCATAATCAAAATGCAAATGAGATGATTTAGTTAGATTTTTATTAGAGAACAATTGGTCAACAACAATAATATATGCATAGAAAACTCATCAGATTTTTGTCAACAACAACACCATGAATTTCATCAAACATCACATTGATTTAATGAATTTTCTTCAATCAAAATATGCCTGAAATTGGAAAATGTCCACAAATTTTAACTTTGACATTTTACTAATTTGGATTTTTTCCTTCATTTGGCATTTTCATGTTTGTGTTTATTTTTCAGGATGTATTTAGATCGAAATTCGGCTATTTTTAGCACATTTACCGACATTTTTTGCTGAGGTGAAATTTTTATACGGTGTTAACGTGAATTTTTATGGCCAAACTCGAGGCGAAGCTAAATAAAACGAATTGTTCGTTCTCGTTTCCTATGATCATTGCCTCCGATTTTTGCATCGATAAAACCGTTGTTCGTAGCAGAGAAACCAGAGAATCGATTGAGTGAGGTGAACAAAACGGTTGTCGTGTAATGTGTGTACGGATAAAAACAACTGCATTCATTCGTTGTTGCGAGAGAGAGAGAGAGAGAGAGAGAGAGAGAGAGAGAGAAAGAACGCGCGCGAGGGCACGCACACTCGCAAACGAATCAAAGTGATGCTCGCGATTCGAGAGATGCTGCGTTTAATGTAATGCCAAACACGGTTTTACTCCAATGATGTTGTTTCGAGTGTTGTCGATGCTTTGCTTCCTGGCTACGGGCACCATTGTACTCGACAACATACAAACCCATCGCTCGGTCGCGCACACACACGCGCAACTCACACACATGCACGCACACACAACCAAACAAGGTGGGATAGAACATTGTGCGCTGTGCTAAAGAAGCAATTCTTGGGCGGCCGTTCGTCATTGTGTGTGCGCGTCAATTTACGTTTTACATGTTGAACCAACGGAACAGCTCAGCGCCGAGCAGCCGAAAGTGGAATGCAACAACCTTTCAATGGGCGTGTCCATATCCATATTTCATTCGAAATGGCATTGCGCAAGCATTTGCTCTGCAGTTTACGAATCAAGTCAAATCGATCGATTCCATTTCATACCATGTTACTTCATCATTTCTCGTAGCACTCTTCATCATCGTGCGTTTTTCGATTCGGGCCTTTTTTTCTCTCTCCTTCACGGACCATTTTCCGTGTAATTGTTGTAATTTTATTTAATTGCATTTTTCACAAGTCAAATCTAAAGGATGTGTTATTGTTTACGTTTAAAACTTATTTAGAAAAAAAAGAGTCACATCCAATAATAAGAAACAGAGGCACTTTTTGGATTTTGAAACACAAAATATACTTGAATGGAAATGAAGGGAATATTATTCGTACAATTGATCAAATACTTTGATAATTGCATTTTTAATGAAGAAAAACGGCAGACGGGAAACTCAGAGATAGAGAGAGATGGCATTTCAATCGAGTTTCTGTGAGCATTTTTGATTTGAAGAGAACTTTTTCTAAAGAAGATGGCTGTTCAAAGTACGAAAAACCAATTGGTTTAGAGCTAAAATAAAATGATTTTGAATTAAATTGGTTGAAGATTTAAGATTCGTATGCATATATGAAACAATTTAAGATAAACGATTATTGTAAAGGATCTGTATTAGATCAAAAAATCAAATAAACTAATGTTGGCCTCAGTAAAAAGCATAGAATTAGATGAATGAAGAAAGATGCCTAGTTTGTGTGCCCAGAATGAGCAGAATCTAAAAATTCACAATTTCCAACTTCAACATGCCAATACAAAAAATGAATGGCTACCATATTTGCTGATGAAAAAAATACCTTCATGAATTCTTCTTCAGGGAATTTCTATTAATCGAAATTGAAAGCAAGTAACAATTGATAAGTATTGAAATTTCGTCTATATTACAGAGTCTGAAACGCTGTAATTTCGATGAAACCAATACTAGAACAAGGGATTGATTTGAATTTTCTTGAAAGCAAGAATTATTGCCTTGGTTCATTGTGATGCAAGCAATATTGTTGTTATTTTCCCTAAATTTGAGGAAAATTTTGCATGCAATTCGGCATCTGCATTCCAAAGTTTGACAAGTCTAAACTATGAGAATAACCGAAAAGAATGGCGTTTTAACTCGAAACTACTTGCCCTCGATGCACGGTCTCTTCGTCGTCAAAACTTTCGAAAATATTCTAATTCTCTAATCCGAGTACACGCGCCATCGAGCGTGGTGCATATGGTTCGTATAAACAATGTTTGTGGTACTTCATCAGATTTCGGTTAGTTTGACTTATGGTCGGGTTCGATGATTTGTTGGCTTCGTCTCATCTAAGTGGATCTGTAGAAGGTGGCTCCGGCTTGAGCAGACAATGTATTTGGCTAATGTCAGCTAGCTAACTGAAAACATTCTGGCTGGGTCAGCGGCTGAATTCTATGCATTGCATTTTTTCACCGCAATCTGTAGTATACAGACCATAAGAAATGTAAAATGTTCGCCATTTATTTTTACATTGCCAATACATTAGTTATGGGGATTTTTGTTTTGTTTTTTTTTTTGTTTGTAAACAAATCTGCCTATCTTTTTGCATTGCCTCTGCACATTTCTTATGGACATATACTATGCACAATGCACAGTCACAATGCAAAAAGATAGGCAAATTTGTTTACAAACAAAAAAAATAAACAAAACAAAAATCCCCATAAATATGATTTATGCAGATGCGATGAAAAAACGTAACGCATAGAATTCAGCCGCTGAGCCAGCCAGAATGTTTTCAGTTAGCTAGCTGACATTAGCCAAATACATTGTCTGGGCTTGAGACCAAAAACCAAAAACCCAATGATTGATCACAATGGGTCCGATTTGATTATAACGATCTCCAAAAATTTATGTACTTGATCTAAGTGTTTTCATTTCGTGCGTTCTCAATGAAAGCGCATTGAACTGAACAAAAAGTGAGCACACCGATTTTCCGAAAACGATTCAGCTTATGGATGAAGAAGGAGAAAAAAAAACTGAGAAGCAAACGGCGCCCTTAACTAACCAACTATGCGCCAAAGATGGTATATGTGTGTGTGTGTGTGTGTGTGTTCAGCATGTTCACATTGTGTAGACAATCGCATTAAATCGGCGAGCAATGACAAGCATGAAAAGTCGGAGTGTGTGCGTTTTACAAAGCACACATAAGATCCGTGGAAATTTCGCCGCTTTTCTTTTTCGTTTCGTGCAAAGCAACAATATAACCTCAGGTTCACCACTTTTGCCGCACAAGAAGCTCATTGCATAAACAAACACACCGACGAACGAAAGAAGGCGAGACTGAGCGAGAGAGGAAACAAGAGAGAAAGAACGAAAGAGACGAGCGTGGGAGGGAAAGAGACGCAACCGATTGGTAGACACGCAACGAAACACTTGAACCGAAGCACTTTATAATCTCTTAGCAGTGTAAAACATGTATGTTTTGATAATTGAATGTTCAATTGGCGTAACACACTATTTATCAATTCCACAACAGAGAGACGCGAGTATAGAACAAAAACACACTGCACCGCCCGCCCGCTCGCTCACCGAATAACGGATAAATCTATATGGCATGTATAAAATATTATCGGGCCAAACGTCGCAAGACGTTTCAAGATTAAGCGAAAATTGACGCGGTGGCAAAATAATGTGTGCCATCGTCAACAAAGCGTTTTACCACTGATCGCGCTTGATTGGATCATCTCACGGAACGGAATGGAATGGAACATTATTAGAGTGTGCACGAACGGAAAAATAGCACACAACAACTTGTGCAGTCTTGTGAAACAGCTTTGATATCAGTCATCATGCAGTTTCACCGATTCGATTTTCTTTTTTTTTTCTGCTTCATCCTTTCTCGCACGCTTCTCGAAATAACATCATATCATAATCACACATTCGTTTCACACAACCGCAAGCAATTTAGAAAGACACGTTGATAAAATGCCATTAAATTTATTTCGCTCGAAAAATAAATGTGCGTTTAATAGAAAAGCAGAGAGAGAGAGAGAGAAGAATGGAAAAAATTGAAAATGGTGAAAAATCGACGCCATAGAAATAGAGTGAAGTCGGTGTGTTGTGTGTGCGATAACAAGATTTCAATACATTGTGGCAAGAAAACCAATCGATTTTAA